CGGACGCTTAACCGACTGCGCCACCCAGGCGCCCCTAAAAACTCATTTTTAAAAGAATTCGTGTTCTGCGGTTTCAGGTCATTCAGAAGTATTTCCTCCTTTGCGATTTGGGTCGTCTTTACATCGGATAAATGCCTACTCTCGTAGAATTGCTTCCCTTGATTTTTGAGGAATTAGATCCATCAAGATAGTTTCCAGAATTACCAGCTTTTTTTTTTTTTTAACGTTTATTCATTTTTGAGAAGCAGAGACAAGAGAGTGAGTGGGGGAGGGGCAGAGAGAGAGGAAGATACAGAATCCGAAGCAGGCTCCAGGCTCTGAGCTGTCAGCACAGAACCCAGTGCAGGGCTCGAACTCAGGACGAGAGAGATCTCATGACCTGAGCCGAAGGCAGATGCCCAACCGACTGAGCCAGCCAGGCTCCCCCAAAATGACCAGCCTTTAATGCTTTCCTTTTAACCTTGTGTACTTTAACAGGGATCCTCCTGCTTCCTGGTTTAGGCAAGGAGCCATTCTGAGCCAAATAAACAATGTGATCATGAGAAGCCCCAGCTAAAGGACTGCTCCCAGTTGGAGCATCCCATTCCACTAGAGAGACAAAGCTCTTTCCTCTGTCCCACCAGGGATCCTGAATGTTTTCACTTCAATGTAACTTAAATCCCTTTTCTTCTATTTTTTTTAATGGAGATTGAACCTGACACAGCACACAGTGCTGGGAAAACCATGATTTCTGCTCTGAAGCAGTGAGAGTGCCCAGGGCTCAGAAAGGAGAGAACCCTAGAAAGGGGCAGCAAAAGTTTGGCAAGACCCCTTTCTGGGCCAGGGCTCCAAGGCCCTGCTGGGATCGCAGAAAGAGCACTGGGCGGACACGACATTCCCGATGGCTTCTTGGGTGCCCACTCAACGGGAGTGATCGTGTCATTCCAAAGCGCTTTCCATTCCGCAGGCGCATGACCCTGGGGCAGCTAACAGGGTTGGGGGCTGGAGGCGGAGCTGGGGACTACAGCTACTCTCGGTACACGAAGACGGTTGGGGTGGGTTTTCCCCAGGAAGTGAAGGGCTATCTTTAGCAAGCTGCGGTGGCCCTGTGGGACTCATCGTGATCGCAGCCCTGTCCAGAGGCCCTGGAAACGCCCTCCCTTGTCAATGCCACTCCAGGTTCCAGAGATGACCACAAACCTGGCTCTCCGACGTCTACGCCCACCACTTCCAGGCTGAGGGCGCACTTGAGACAGGGTCGGAGACCAGAGCGACCCAATAAGTATGTATGGGGGTCAGAGGCTGGCCCACCCCACCTAGGCCAGGACGCTGCTCTGGCAGGAGAGCAGGGAACGAAATCCAAGCGCAGCTGGAATGCTCTGGAGACAACAGCTGCTTTTGGGATTCCGTTGCCCGCTGTCCAGCCGTGGCGGGTGGGAATGACCCCGGGGCGGGGGGGTGGTTCCCTTGTCCTGGGGCCAGATCAGGACCCCCATTCCCAGTACCAGGAGACGGACCTACGAGTGGGCGGTAAAACCGAGTGTAGTGGGAACGAGGCGCTCACCTGGGCCCCCAAACAATAGGAAGGTTGGTGGGGGTCTCCCCTGGGACCGGTCCAGATCCGGATTAGATCCGCAGGGTAAGATTACTCCTGTTGGTCCCATGAAGCCAGGCCACCAGTGCGGAGACGGTGGTGGGAAGGGCTTCGAGATCAGCCTAGAGGGAAGCTCACCCGTAGGGCCGGAGAGGAAGTAAAGCCGCGCGCCCGCCTCAGGGACACCCCCGCACCCCGGGCCCTTTGTCCCGTGACTATGCCAGCGCCCGGAGCGCTGGGGACCCAATGGCGGCGATAGGACCCCCGGGAAGCCATTGCGACCGTCCTCCGCTATGCCGAACCTCCCTCCCTCCCGGTCCCGTGGGTAGCAGACGCGTCAACATTCCCTTGAGGCCACGACACGGTGGGGGCGCGAAGATGCCCGAAACCCGCGCGGGCGCCAGCGACTCTCGCGCCAGTAGGCCCTCTGATTCGGTTCAAGACGGGGGGTCGGGGAGTTCTCGGGCCGCGAGCAGCGTGAGCGACGACAGGGCGATGCTCCAGCAGCTGTCTAGTTCAATATCTGGTTCCGTTCGGCCCGGTGGCTCCCACCCGAACAGCTACAATCGCCCTACTACGGCGTCCCCTTCCGCTTGCTGGGGCCGCAGATTTGGAGCCATTTTAAGGCGAAACCAATCAGCCACGCCCCCTCGCGCTCCTGAGAAGCCAATCCACGCGTGGCCACGCCCCGGGAGACGCGCGGCGACGACGCCAACGGTCGCGCTGGTGACGGTTGAGGAGGGGCGTGATTCGCAGAAGTGCGGGGGAAACCTGAGCTGGCCGCTCCGCCCTCGGAACCCGACGCCCCAAAGCCTGGGATTAGGGGCTTGGATGCTGGCCCCACGCCCTGGCCAGGTGTGAGGGACTTGACCAGGTGCGCGGCAGCCCCGCCCCAGGCTCCGGGAGCCTGCGTTAATAGCTGAGGGCCGGGGACCAAGCGGCGGCGGGGGCCCAGGCAGCGCTCTGAGGCCGGCCACGCCACCAGGTGTCCGGCTCCCCCAGGACGGTCTGTGGGGGCCTGGGGCGGGGCGGGCGGCAGGTGCAGACACCGGAGCCGCGGTAGGGGACGGGCCCTCCTGGGACAGTTTTCCCGGGCCGGCTCCTTCATAATCCCGCGCTGGGGCAGCCGACTCGCGCGGTGCCCTCCGGGACGCAGAGGGCGCTGTCAGCGCGCTGCGGAGAACTTCGCCACGACTCCGCTGACCTAGCGCCGGGTTCCCTGCACGCGGGTCCGCCATGGTTGCCTCGTTCGCTCTTCGCGGCCTGTGCCGAGCTCGAGCCGCCTTGCGCTGTGACCTCGCAGAGCTGCTGTGGTGAGTCCAGATCCAGCGTCCCTGACTCTCTCGCCTTCCACGACCGGCGACTCCCCCCCCCCCCCCCCCCCCAACGGCTCCCTAGAACCTTAGCATACCCCACCCGCAGGGTTCCAAGGCGAGGGCATCGGCTCACGCCGGCGGACGATGAGCTGTATCAGCGGACGCGCATCTCTCTGCTGCAACGCGAGTCCCCGCAATCCATGTATATCGACAGCTACAGCAGCCTCGGCTTCATGGTCAACGGAAATCGTGTGCTTGGGCCCTGCGCGTTGCTCCCGCACTCGGTCGTGCAGTGGAACGTGAGCAGTGAGGAAGTAGAGGTCCAGAGCCCCAGGCCTGTCCCCTGATTCTTCCCTGGCAAACTTGGCTTTTCCGTTACCCCTTTGTGGAACAGGTAAGGGCTCTGTGGGGAAAGCTGCGCGAACTTGTACTTAACCTGCCTCCTCCCAACCCAGGTAGGAACTCACCAGGACATCACTGAAGAAAGCTTCTCTCTCTTCTGGTTGCTGGAGCCGCGAATAGGTACTGGAGAAGGGGAGGGCTGAGGTGCTTCCAGCCCCAGCAAACCACCCCGCCCCAGCCTCCCCACTGACCCGCTATAAGCTAATCATGGCCATCTTTCCCTAGAGATCATTGTGGTGGGCACCGGAGACCGGACTGAACGACTCCAGCCCGGGGTGCTGCAAGCCATGAGGCAGCGGGGCATCGCGGTGGAAGTGCAGGACACAGTAAGTCCTGCCACTTGGGAGTGCTGAGCAGGGCCCAGTCCTATCTCTAGCCAAGCTGATGCAGGCTTTCTCTTTGCAGCCCAATGCCTGTGCCACTTTCAACTTCCTGTGTCATGAAGGCCGAGTGACAGGAGCTGCCCTTATCCCTCCACCTGGAGGGACTGTGCTCACAACTTTGGCACAAGCTGCAGAATGAACCACCAGGAACTGACCTAACCTGTCCAGGAGGGCCGTGGCACTTTTGCAGTGCACACGGGTTTCCAGCGCTTTCACTAGTCCCTCCCCTTTGGCACTGTAACACTTGTCTTTCTTGCCAGCAAGTTAATAATTTAATCCACATCTTCCATTTTGTTCTAGTTTACTGCTGGTGAGGAGCTACTTGGCTCAGTGGGCTCTTGGTGGGGGTTGCAAAGAAACCAAAGGATCACCTTTTTATCTAGGCTACTTACCTCCTCAGAGGCAGGAGGCAGCATAGGCACCTGTTTCAAACTGCAAATGTAACTACTTGCTCACATGCAGATTTGAGGGGACCTCAGTGCTTTCTCCACAAGGTCCCTTGGAGATTCAAGTTAGAGAATACATATGTGGATCTCAACCTGGTCCCATGTGGCCAAACACCTGTGAGTGCCAGTCCAAAGCTCCCATGGACTGTTCCATGACCTGTCCTAAGTAGCCATAATGTGAGACTGCACTCTTGTGAGTCAGAGCTGGCCAGACTCATCTTGTGAGCTGCCTCAGGAGGGACTTTTTGAATCAAGAACTAGTTCCTCCTTCCAGATCCAAGGAGTATCCTGACCTCAGTGTCTGAGGCTTTCCCCACAAATGAGGGTGTTGTGTTTGTGTGCATCTGTGATAGTGGCAGCTGCACAGCCACACCTGCTTGTTGACCTCAAAGATCAGGCACTGTTTTTTTTTTCCCAAACTTTTATTGAAAAACCAAGGGGGTATGCCGTATCCCTTTTCAGAAAAGCCTCTTCTCATACCTGTAAGCAGAATAACAAGCTGTGAGGTGCGGCAGGAGGAAGGAGGCACAGCAAAAACCTTTGCTCTGAAGGTAGATGGGTACAAAAGGGCTGGTCACTTACGAATGGAGGCTGTGGACACCACCTTCCACCTGAGCTGAGGATGTTCTCTTCTCAAACTTGAGTTCTCCAGAATACATCATGGCTCTGAAGAGGGACGGATGTTGGATGTGGGTAGCTGGCCCTCAACCACCCCCTCTACCCATGTTCAACTCCCCAAGCTTACCGGACTTGGGTCAAACTCTTGGCACCAATGTCTTGGCAGGAGTGCTGGATGCCAGCGATCAGGTAGGGGACAAATTTGTGGATGGACCCTTTGTCCTGCACAGCCCCAGACACCCCCTGAGCCACCTTGATTTTGTCAGCTTCACTGTGGGGAGAGGCAGGACAACACAAGCAAGGTCAAAGCATAGATGAAGCTGCCAGTACAAGGCTGTCAGCACAGGATAACTGACTTTCCTGTCCCACCTGAAATATCGGTTCTGGCTGCTGAGATGCTTGTCCATGGCATCAAGAGAACCCATACCACGATATTTCTTTAGCCGGATTCCATCAGAGAAGAAGTACTCGCCAGGGGCCTCAGTAGTAGCAGCCAGGAGGGAGCCCATCATAACTATGGACAGATGGGAGTGCTGGGGGCAGACTCTGAGTGGCATTAGGGAAAGAATCCCACCAAACTCCCTGGGTGCTGGGCCTCACCTGTGGAGGCCCCAAGGGCCAAGGCTTTAGCGATGTGGCCCACATTTTGGATTCCTCCATCAGCAATAACAGGAACACCAAAGCGCCGTGCATATTCTGACACCTTGTATACTGCTGTTGCTTGGGGCCGCCCGCAGGCCAGCACTATTGAGAGAGGAATATATGGGTGGATGGAATTAATGGGGACAGGCAAGGGGCCCTGTGGCCATAACTCAGCACCCAGGAGCTCTCAGCTACAGATGCACCAAGACTGCAGCTTGGCCAAGAGAATCAAGTCTGGGATGGCTGCTGCCCCATCTGCCTTGAACAGTACAAATAGCTGTGATGGCCTCCACTCAATCCTGCATGTGCGCGTGCATGTGTGCATGGCCCAGGGCAGCCTCAGGCACATGCAGTCAGCAGCCGGGAAAAGCCCCACCCACCTGGTATCAAGTGGACGTAGGGGGTCACCGTGCAGTTAGTAACCCAGAGGCCCACCCCTTCCTGCCTAGTTGGCAGCTCGGGCAAGATCAGGGGAGTGGTTGTGTAGAAGGAAGAGTGGCTTGTTGGTTCTTGAGCTGTGCCTACTATAGGAAATGTGGGCAGACTAGGGCCTACCTGGGAAGGAGATCCTGCCTTATGAGCACCCCGGGAAGAGGGAGCTGTGTTTTCCAGCAGCCCCCAAAACCATGGTCTGTCATTCAGTTTGCCCTGCCCACCCATCAGCACCACAAACCCCGGGAGCTACAGCTACAGTCAACCAAGCAGCCGGGCAGTGGGCAGCTGGGCCGGGCCAGTGGGCCGGGCTGGACTTACTATAGCAGCCCGTGACAGTAGAAGGGCATTTGGGGCTGTGGGACTTTATGTCTGGAGGGATCTTGGGAGCCACTAAATAAAACAAACAGACCAGAGTTTAGAGAGGGTGCAGAGCAGGAGCAAGGAGGCCAGGCTAGGTGAGGGGTGGGGTGGGAGGGAGTGGCAGGTGAGGAATGACAAGCTCGTCTTCCAGCATGTCACCCATCCAAGGGGCCCATCTGGCCCTGGGGCTGCCCCTATTGGAGGACTCCGTATTGTTCCCACAAGAGCGCTTGGCTCAGGCCATCTGGGACTAAGGGCCCTGTTGAAGCCAGAGTCTCTGAGGGCCTGCTGAAGCATTTCCTACCTTCCTGGGTGATGCAGATGGAGCCACTGCCCATGCCCACCCGCAGGGCATCTACACCAGCATCAATGAGATTCTTGGCCTGAGCAGCTGTGACCACTACAACAGGGAAAAGCTTGTGTGAAGGTCTAAGTGGGAGCTTAGCTTCCCTCCTCTTGCCCCACGTCCTTCAGTACCCAGTCTTGCCTCACCATTGCCTCCAATAACTTGGAGACTGGGGTATTTCTCTTTGATGTACTTGATCATGTTGATCTGGAAGATTGAGTTTCCCTGGGAAGAGTCCTGGGACAGAAAGAAAGTCCCAGTGAGACTGGTATTACAGCTGCCCCTACCACCCTACCCTGCCTATGTGACAACTCACCAAAACCACTACATCCACACCAGCCTGGGCTAGCAAGTCCAGCCGATACTTGTCATCTTCATGAGTGCCAATGGCTGCTCCACAGAGCAGCTGCTTCTTGGCATCTTTGGAGGCCAGTGGGTAATCCCGGTTCTTCTTCAGGTCTGTCCGGGCAATGATGGCTACCAGTTCATCATCTTCATTTACAATGGGTAACTTTCCTGGAGGTAGGGCAAATACATAAATCAGAACCCTGGTCTCTGGTTCCAGAACCCTTCCACCTCTAGGACTCACCTTTCTTGCTGCGCTGCAAAATTTCATTTGCTTCTTTCAATGTGATGCCTGCAGGAGCTACCACCAAGTCTTCCCTCTTCGTCATGATCTAGCAGTGAGGGGAGCTATGAGAAAAGGCCAGAGACCAGACTTCCCAACAGACCCTGCCCTAATACAGGAGGGAGGTTCCAAAGACCACCACGATCACACAGCCTGCACCCAAACCACCCTCCTCAAGTGAACCCAACAGTCTGTGCAGCAATATAGTGGCTGGGGTGAAAATTCAGTAGAAAGGACAACATGGTACACAGAGCCTCCTGTTACATAGTGGAGAAAGAAATGCCATGCCAGAGCAATGACAAGAGAATTGGAAGAGGAGGTCGAAATTGATCCTTGAGTACTGCCTGCACCTTGGGGGTGGCAAACATTTGGGCCCATTCAGAGCCTCTGGTGGGGAAGAGATGCACGAACCCCATGAAGGGATCAGAAACCTGGCTGGGCACTCATCTCTTCTGGACTGCAAAGGCCCCCAGAGATGCCATTCAGGCAACAGAAACCTTGTCTTAAGCCTTGGCTGCTAGAACTTGGCTTTGCGTTGTCAGTAGCACCTACCTCTTCCAAAAACCGGTCGTGCTCCTCCTCCTTGAGAAAATCAATATCCCTTGAGGAAATGATGCCAACCAGGCGGCTTCCCATCCGTCCTGTGTCAGTGATCGGGATACCACAGAAACCATGCCGGGCTTTGGCTTCAAACACATCCCGCACTCGATCCTTGGGGCTGAGGACCACAGGGTCTGTGATGAATCCCTGCTCATATTTCTGGAAGGGATGGCAAGAATATTTCTGAACAGCCTTTACCAGTTTGAAGCCCGGGGTCTGTGCCAACTCCCCCCTCTGGCAGTGCCACAGGACCAAATCACAACTCAAACTCAGGAATAGGAAACACGGGTGGGCTGTAGGTACTGTCCACCTGGTCCTCTTCTGTTGACTAAGGACACAGGGTCTCATAGTCTTCTCAAGAATTGAACCCCAAAGTGGGGAAAAGATCAGGAGAATATATCCCCCTTTCCCACCCCCCACTCCACCTCAATGCAGTTCCCAGGAGCTCGTGACCACTATCCTTGCCCTTCTGACCTTCACTTTCCGAACTTCGTTGGCTTGGAACTCCGGTGTACAGTTGTGGTGGATGAAACCAATACCACCTGTAAGCTGCACGATAAACAGAAGATAGTGAAAAAGTGACAAAGAGGTGCTCCTGGGTGGCTCAGTTGGTTAAGCATCTTGACTTCAGCTCAAGTCATGATCTCACGGATTCATGGGTTTGAGCACCACGTAGGGCTCTCTGCTGTCAGCACGGAGCCCACTTCGGATCCTCTGACCCCTGTCTCTGCCCCTTCCCCACTCATTCTTTTTCTCTCAAAAATAAACTTTAAAAAGAAGAAAAAAGTAAAGAGTAAGAGCAGCATGACTCTATATGCCTTTGGGGAACAATGTGGGGCCCCTCCTTTCTGTCCCTACATCCCGTCATGCTCACCGCCATTGCTATGGCCATGCCAGCCTCTGTGACTGTGTCCATGGGTGAGGAAACCAGTGGGGTCTTCAGAGTAATCTTTTTGGTCAGAGCAGAAGTCAGGTCCTGGGGAGATACAGCCAAGTAATGTGGGAAAGCACCTCATATGCCTCAGGGTGGTGCCAGATCCCCATAAATCAGGTGCCCTGCATGACATGCATGCCAATCAGACTATTCTACAGAATCTACCCCCAAGCCCAATTTGGTTTGGTAGCTGAGAGGACAAGGCAAAGGAGTACCTTACGTAACCTGATGTTCAGGACCCAGTTTCTGGCGATACTCACCACCTGGTCTGCAGTGAAGTCGATGTACCCAGGGAGAATGAGAAAGTCACTATGGGGAAGGGGAATGAATTGGGAGTAAGGCTCAGGTTTAGGGCGGCTTAAGATTCCACCCCCACTGATCACATCAAAAGGCATTTGGGCCCAGAGGGCACTGCCCTAGCCCGTGTCACATTAAGGGAAGACAAATCACAAGGTGGAGATGTAGATAGGGGACCTTTTCTGCCACCTAGCTGTCAACAGCGACCCTGGCATCCTGACAACTCCATGTGCCGACAGAATGGAGCTTCTAGTCTGAAATCCCAAGCACTGCCAAGATGCCTCCTCCATTCCGCCCCACTTCAGATCTACCAAATGGAGCCGGAGATGATGGATTTTCCGCAACCTGTCCCCACGCCCGAGTCCCAGAGGGCTCAGTGGAAAACCCCACCCGGCCTCCCACCGCAGCGCGCCGCCCCTCTCCTCGCCCAGGTGAGCCCGCTAGGCCCGCACTTGTAGGTGAGGCCGTCCCCGCAGTTGAACAGCTGCTGTGCCGTAAGCCCGTCGTCTGGCACGTAGGACGTGCCCCCGCTAATCAGGTAGTCGGCCATAGCCAGCACCGGGCAGAGCCGCGTGTGTCCGAAGACCGCGCCGCAGAGGCCTCAGCCGTCTGGGCCGCGCCAATATAAACCCGCCGATATCGTCATTGCGCCCTGCGCGTCACTGACGTCAGGACGCAGTGCGAGCAGGCGGAGCCTACGCGACTTCGGGGCGGGACTACCGAAGGAGCGCATGCGCGCAACATGCACTAGGGCTTGTAGCCTTGTAGTTGGGTGTTACCGTGTCTGCTCCCTCCCACAAGACCTTGACCCGTTCAATTAGCAGGCAAGGCTTTGCTTCCACTGGCCCGCCAGGATCCTCCCAAATAAAGAGGCGATGTTCACTAGCATGTTGAAAAGACGTGCTTGTCATTCTTAATAAACAACTAGATTAAGAATACATAAGAGAAACAGAGTGGTATCTTTATATGATACACAAGTGTATGTTACAAGAATTCCATCAGGCACAGGAGCCTCAGGTTTAAGGCCTCAATGCTAGGCCAAAAAAAAAAAAAAAAAAAAAAAAAAAAAAAAAAGGCATGGTAAAGTTTTTACTTTAACATCTAAAATGTCACTTGTCATAAAGGAGGGTGTAATAGAAATTGTCTTTAATAAATCATAATTGAAGTTCCCCTCATTTTCCTTCCATTAAGATGCTAAGTTTATGTCTGAGCATGAAGAAAGAAAAAGACGGTGGCTCCCCTGTGGTCAGCGACGTCTGCCAGTCAGAGTGGAAGCCAGCTGGGGAGATTCCCTGGAGGGTCCATCCATCACTAATTCCATCTTTCTAGAGTAAGGGAACGGGCCACATTTCTCCTAACAGTCCAAGCCCTTTTCCCACGCCCCAGACAAAAAAAGAAAAAGCCAGCCAGCCAGCCACTTTCTAGGACATCTGGCTTTTCAGGAAACCCAGCACCCCCACGGGCTGAGGAATCTGCCGCAGATTTACGGAGACGCACAGGAGGCAAAGTTTCCTTTTACATTTTAAACAGAAGCAGTCTGAAAGGCTTCATAACTACACCAATAAAAAAAAGAAAAAATGGAGGCCTCTTCTTTAGTGTGAAAGTCTGTCCATTTTTTTTCCTGGATCATCTCCCTTGCACCATGGCTTAGGCATCTCAGTGCATGGTGCTTGCGTTGGCCACTGCAATGGCCTCCTGAATTTCTCGTATCACCAGGATCCGAGTCAGCATCTGTCCCATCTGTTCTCTGCTGATAGGCTGGACCGAGTACCAGATTGGGCTATTGGGGGCCACCACTGGCTCGGGCGTCAGATAAAAGGTGTCATTCCGGCCTTTCACACTCTGGGGGCTGAAAAATATATCAGTAAAAGCTGGGTAAAACCACAATAGTCTTAACCCTCCCACATTGGAATCTACTGGACAGATGCTGTCTGCAAAAGTTGGGAAGACAGCAGCTCTTGGAGGTATGGTATCATAGCTACTGAATTCCATGCAGCCAACACATATTACCTCTAGGACCTCCTTTGGGGCTACTGCAAATGTCAGTAATAGGCTACCTCCCTTCCACTCCTCCCTTACATGCTGCCAGCTGTGAATATCTCTGAGTGACACCTAAGGATGTGGGGTTCATCTTCTTGAGTCCAACTATATCCCACCTGGAACCAATTTCACCACTTACAAGGTCATCTCCAAGTCTTTCCTCATGTTGTTTGCCTCTACCCAATCCACTGACAATTCCTCAATTTTACCTAAGGGACTCTATCTGCCTTCCCAGCTTGGCTAAGATGCTGGGACCCTTACTTAGGCTCACACTCTACCCCTTCAATGTTTTGCTGTACTTATTAGCACATGTCACTGTCTAAACAGTTACATTTACCCATCCACTCAAGATTTATCAAAGGGCCACTGTGTGCCAGGTCTGCACTAGGAGCTGGTGTTCAAGAAATGAGCAAAATCCAAGACTTCCCACCTTATGGAGCTTACAGGTAAGAGGAGAGACAGCCAACAATTAGATAAATACACACAAAATGACAATCAGTGATAAATGCTACAAAGGAAAGAGCCCAAAAGAACAGGTAGGGAATCTGGAAATGCTTCCCTAATAAAGCTGAGAAGAGGATTGATAGGAGCCAACTAGCCAAATATGGGGGCCTGTAGGGGGTGGGGAAGGCCTGCCCAACAGGGAAAAATGTTTTTAATGTTTATTTATTATTGAGAGACTGACACAGAGCATGAGCATGGGAGGGGCAGAGAGAGGGGAAGACACAGGATTTGAAGCAGGTTCCAGGCTCTGAGCTGTCAGTACAGAGCCCGACGCAGGGCTGGAATTCACAAACCACGAGATCATGACCTGAGCCAAAGTTGGACACTTTACCAACTGAGCCACCCAGGTGCCCCATCAACAGGGAAAATTTCTATGCTGAGGCCTGAGGGTAGGGAGAGCATGAGGTCCTTGAGTGGAGAGAAGCCAGCATGGCTAGAGAGCCAAGAGCTACATGGACATGAGATGAGCAAGGGAACTATACGAAAGGCCTTGTTGGCAACATTAAGATTACTCTTCTTTATATAATAAACTAAAACCACCGAAGGTTTTAGTCTAAGTAACATGTTAAGAACTATAGCACAGAAATATCATTTTGGCATTGCTGTAGAGATGACATGTCAAACTGAAAGGGCAAGACAGCAAAAGCAAAGAAAACGAATCCCCTCTAGATTGATGTTGCTAGTGACAAAGGTCAAGGACAGGAAGATGTTAGGCTATGCTATGTGATGGAAGCCACTTCTCTATACTTTCCTCCCTCTGCCTTCATTCCCCTCTCCAAGACAGGGGACCATATAAAATTACCATGCTGGTCATTCCACATGTTTTTGGGAAACCAGTAAGGTTGCTTCTGTATTTAGCTTTTGGGAAGTGTGTATTTACTCTCAGTTCGTGACTAAAGAATGCCTTTGTATACAGGTACAGTGCATGCATGCACACACACACAGTCCCCCAGCCACCATAAAGCTTCCTCACCATTTAAAGAGGTAGAAATCGTAGAGCTTGATGGGACATCTCAGTGGATTCTCTGGATTTTCCGTCTGTTCTGCATACATGTCATCTGTAACTACAAAACACACCCCCAACACCAGAGACATGGCATCAGACTGCTTTAGCTTAGGCCCAGATTAGGAACCTTAGGCTTCTAGTCATCCCAAACTAGACTTATTGGGAGGAAAAATGGTGTGAGGCATGAAGGGAAAGTATGAAAGGAAAAAGCAGCAATCATTTCTGGGGCATCTCTGCTTCTAGAAGAGTTTGAAGTTTCTGGCTGGGGAGAAGGGAATGGAGAATTCTTATCCAGCAAATCCCAACCTTCACACTAATCACTAGTCCCCCGGCACAAGGACAGGGCAGGACAAGTTGCACCTGTTTCCGTAGCCCCTACCTTTCTGGCCAGTCTGGTGTATCCCAAGTGCCTTCAGGTACCGAATACTCGTGCTTTTATCCTTAGGATTAGAGGGGTTCTTCTTTGTCTGTCGCAAAACCTTGGAGAAGGCCAGCTTCATATGCTGGTCCACTGTCTTCAAAAGGAAGTATCTGCACCACAAGTGAAAGCAAGGCAAAGGGAGGGGTGCCAGGAGGAGACCATGACTCAGCCTCTGCCATCAGTGTCTCGGAGGAGCTGATGCACACACTCCCAGGATCTGGGCAGGCCCACACCCAAAAACACTGTCTAGTGGAGGAACCACATCAAGACTGATGGCAGGGGTCTGGCAAGGCTGTCTGCCTCACTGGTCACCACACAAATGTAGCCAAATGGGGCTGAAGGCTTTCAGTAGCCCAGATGCTCTCAAATGTGTCAAAGGAATTCCTAAGTCTACCTGGATAGTTTCCACCCTCTTCACTGGGCAGATGCCAGCAGTGGCTAAGCATGGAGCTCTAGAACACTTACTTGGTGTTAAAGAACATGAGGGTGGTCAGCAGGGTGGAAGGGGAGTGAGCCCCGAGCTGCTTGCACTCCCACAGCATCTCCTCAGTCACGTGGCTGGGCAGGACATAGCCTAGGAGGAATAGAGTACTGCTACAACAAGACGATGGGAGAAGGGCCCTCAGAGGTGCAGGATGGGAAGTGGGAGGCACAAGGACCACACAGGAGTACAAGTTTACCAGAAAAATCTCCCTAGGGAATGGCAGAATCACCTGGAAGCTTGAAACACAGATGCCTGGGTTTCAGCCCAAGCTTCTGGGATGGGACCTGATAATGTGCATTTCTAACAAGTTCCTGAGAACCAGTGCCCTATATGATTCTTACCTGATGTTATTTCTTCCTCTAATCCAAGATTACAATTGGGCTTCATAGTGTAACACCCAAAACTATAAATCAAACTCTGCATATATGCATACTTCTCTAGAAAAAGGGTATAGAGCTTTCATCATATTTTTTCAAAGGTGTCAAGGGCCCAAAGAACCAGTATGTGTGTCCTTGTTAAACCTCTTGTGTTTTCCACCTCTAAAAAGCAAGCTCATTCTCATTCCCTGTCTGGATAAAGGGGAGAATGATATTCAGAACTATTACAGGGTTCTCCCACAGGGAAGGTCTAACTTTAAGACGCTGGTTCATAAGCAAACTGAGGGCTGGGCAGGGGCAAAGGCCAATGTTTGATCAAAAGCCCTGTGCAGCCAGGTCTATGTGAACAGAAGATGACACTTAGGTTGATCACCAAGCCCCCATCATGTCTTCATTCAACAGTCAATGTACCAGTGTTTATGTGCCAGGCACTGAGGCCCTGGTGAAACAGTATTCTCCTGCAGGAGTTTCAGGAATTCTCCAAGCAGACAGTGAGGATGCCACATCCTAGGAGCAGGGAAAGAAATATTCTGCCCAACACATTCCTCTTCTCTACTCTTGCAAAAGCTGGTCCTCTAAGTCCATTAGTGCACTCCCATCTCTTTCTGGCAGCACTACCTCTACTCTTCTATTTTGTGGCCCACTGGCAATACGATAAGATTTCCTGCCCTCAAAATATCTGAAGCAGATGAGTGGCACAAGACAGCCCTGTTTGGGGAAGGCCAGAGCTAAAAGTGGTCCCACACATACCTTAGCATGCACTATTTTCTTTGGGTTCACTTCACTCTGCCAACTAGTAGTGTCTCTTCCCTAGCTTTACCCACTTCCTAACACAACTTAAACTGAACTTTAGTGTCTAAAAACCAGGACTCCTGGCATGGGAGAAGGGAGATGCAGAGACATCATATAAAAAGCCTTGTAGTTCTGAATCTGAACTGCAGGTATCAAAATGATTTTTTTTTTTTTTTTAGTTCTGCCCCCCTGAAAGGCCTAGAAACAATGACCAACCCAGAAGCAATGAACACCCCTATGCTACTTAAAATACCATTTACCACTAAAAGGAACCAGGTTCTATGCTGAACTGACCAATTCTATACTGAGGCAGAAAACAGAAAATGTCCAAGATGAGCATGGAATATCTGGAAAATCAGAAATCAAGGAAGTAGGGCCATGTCAAAAGAACTTAAAAGCCAATTTAAAGAGGCTCCAAATGGCCAAAGACAGAACAATCTGCACATCAAAAAAGATTACCTGCAATGGAGTAAACCATATTAAATATGTTTAAATCCATCAGTTCACAAGGATTCTTTAAAAAGTGAATTGGTCATCATTGGATGAAACCAGTGAACCAACTCATTACTGTAAAAACTGCTAAACAAAGGAGAAGAAACAAGCCCTTATCCTGCCTCTACTATAAAATCCATTATCTATACTGCTAGGCATTGAAAGAGTGATCAGGAGAAAGTTGTGCTCTGTATTTCAGCTAATAACGAAGAAGTAGTAACATCAGAATACCACTGTTTGCAACTCCTAATGAATGAATGGATCTAGATATTATGGGTATCAGATGGAAGTATATAGCCCATCTATGATGTCTCCATCCAAAAAGGAAACACAAAATTCAAAACCCCATCAATGAAGTCTTTATCTGAAACTATCTGCAACATTTACAGTTATGTGAATACAAGGAACAGAAAACTATACTAAACTACAATATGGGGATGTAATCAGACTGACAATTTAAAAGGCTACTTTCTTCTATAAATAAATCGCAAAAAAAAAAAAAAAAAAAAAAAAAAAAAAGAATTAAGGAATCAAGGGGAAAACTAAAGATTAAAGCTAAATATTAAAAGACATACCAGCAATTTCAATGTGCGGATCTTATTTGCACCTTGGCTCAAAACAAAGTCAAGACATTTTTGAGACATTAGAAATTTGAACAAAGGGTAGATTTTTATGACATTATGGAATTATACCCCCCCCAGTATAATAAAGGCATCATGTGTCAAACATACTAAAATATTTATGAATAAAGTGTCTAGGAGTTACTTCAAGATAATATGGGAAGGGAAAAAAACAGATGGGGTACCTATGACACAAGATTTGCCATGGACAATGGGTACAAGGGAGTGTCATTTATCTCAAGTTTACTTTTATATATGCTTAAAATTTCCACAATGCAATTTTTAAAAAGCAAAGTTTGGGGGCACCTGGGTGGCTCAGTCGGTTACGCGTCCGACTTCAGCT